TTGGATTTATCCCACAGGTATCGACCGCAAACATTTTATGCGGTTTTTTGGTAAAACCGTTTTTGTTTTAAAAAACATTTGTAGCGAAAGGTAATGCTTGATTCGGTGACAATGGGGCCCAAGAAAGGTGTGTAAGTCCAGATCCAACATGTGGTGTGTAAGTTCTGGGCCCAAAGAATGTTAATGGCCGATTTTGGGTTTTCCAGTGACGCTTCACGCGCCCTTACTCTGTTCAAACTTGACATTGCAATTGTGCCAAAAAAAAAAAGGCATAAAAACCAAGCTTGACATTCGCGATTTGCATTCAGTATTCACCACACACCCAAAAAAAAAAAAAATAAATTGCATTTAGTATTATTCACTCCCACGCTCCTCCATTTGCTTGCCCCCATCAGAATGTCGACCTGGGGCCCCATTTGATACAAGAGTTAATCATGAAATTTGAATTGAAATGAGAATCAGAATGAAATTGAGTTATGAAAATATATTTGGTTTAGAGATGGAAATGATGAAACAAATAAAATACCTTTGCCTCTTGTACTAACAAAGCTGGACCTCAGCACAGTAGAAAGAAAAAGAGAAGGAGCAAAACCATTCACGTTGTTGTGTCATATATGGGAGGAGGAGATTCAAGAGCAAAGCAATCACGAGGTAGTAGTGAGAAAAATAGTTTCATGAACAATAATCTAATTCCATGGGAATGAGGATGGAAATGAATTTTGAGACTTTTGGTGGAACCATGATTCTTAAAAATTCTAAATATATCATACCAAATATGCATAAATTAGGATTCTAGTTTCAATTCCGTTTCTTTGCCTATAATTTCTAAATACAACTAGGCTTTAGTGGTGTTGGCACCTCAGGACACCAATTTTCTGTTTTAGTTTCTCAAAGTTTATTTTTTCTTGCTTCTCTCCCTTTTTTAGTGATTATTTATAAAATAGTTAGATTTTTTTTATTCCATCTCTTCAAATGCAATAGGAGACAATACATGGTCAAGTCACAAGGTGATGTGGTGAGAAGTGGAAAGCAGGTTGTTAGCTCATTTTTTTTTTTTTATAGCAAGGGAAAATGACAAACTACACATTAGCATTAGAGTCTTGCTACAAAGATAAATCTAACTTGGGAAGGGGTGGACAAAAAATGAAAATCAGTAGCATAGGACAATGCTTGCTTAGCAAGAGCATCAACAGCTGCATTGGCATCCCATGAGATTTCTTGAAAAATAACCACCCAATCACAATCCATCATGGACCCGATCTCATTAATAACATCAATGTATTGATGTGTAGGTACGAATATGCCAATAATTGCTTCAACAGTGTTAAAAAAAATTGATTCCATAATAAGTTTATGAAAACCAAGCTCCCATGCTAGTTCAAGACCCCACATGCAAGCCTAAAGCTCTTCATATAAAGGGTCACCATTATTCAACTTATATATAAAACTTGATTTAAACTGTCTACTATGGTCTTAGAACAAACCACCATTCCCAACACACTTTTAATTTGCAGCAAAGGCACCATTTATATTTAGTTTCAACCAATCCTTAGTCAGTGAGCACCAATTGCCACTAAGAATAGGACCATCTTACTTTTTTCATGCCATACTTCTAAGTTTGCTACGATAGTTCATGTGCATGTCAATAGTTGCTAAGATCTAAATAAGTCAACAAGCAAAAGAGAAACAAAGAGTTTCAAGGAATCCTCCTACTCTTCCTCCGAGACCTCACATTCCATTTGAACCACTTATAAAGTTCCAAGTTGAAAAAAGTTCTAAATTCCTAATCCAAGTGCTCTATCCAGAAGCTTTTGGTGTTTAGAAAATCATATATCACATTAATGATGTCCTCGACAGCAACTTTATAGATCTCACATCAATCATCCACATGCATTCCCTGCTTCACATGACCTACATTAATAAGAAGCTTACCGTGGTAGGTTAACCACAAAAAGGACTTACATCATTTAGGAACATATAGTTCCTATATCCTCCTCTAAGTGTTATTGCAATCATCATGGTTTTGGGACAAATAATTATAAGTAGACTTGATTAAGATTGACAACTGCTATTCCATTTCCATGAGCCTTCCTTGCTTTCCTTGTGTATAATAGTTCCATTTTTAATGTATTCCCACAAATATTTAGTTCTATCCTAAACATTCAAGTTAGGTCGTTTGAGATCAATCTTTAAGAATATATTAGACCCACGCTTGTATTTTCTTCTGATAACAGGAACCTAAAGATCGTCACATTTCTTGATGAGGTCCTATCTTAGCTTCATTTAGAAATGCTTGATTTTGTTTCTTGCATACTTGATTCCAAGTCCCCCCCATGATTCTTGGGTTTACACACTTTATCCCAAGCAACCTAATGGACCTTCTTTCTATCATCTATAGATCCCCACAACAAATTTCTATTACTCCTCTCCAACTTATCACATGTAGCCATAAGGAGGTTTGTTGTTTGCATGGTGTACGTTGAAATACTAGTAATGACGAAGCTAATCAAAGTAGTTCTTCTAGCCAAAGCAAGTGAGTTTGCCTTCCAATTAGATAGCCTTTTATTCACTTTGTCCATGATATCATGGTAAGTATCTTTATCAACACATTTATGAAGAAGAGGAATTCCAAGGTACTTTTAAAGATTCATAGTTCATGAAAATCCAAGTGCATTGCTCAGCTTCAAGCTTTGTGTGTAAAGCATATTTGAAGAGAAGAACACCTTGTACAAGCAGCCATTAATGACATCAACATGTAGTAAAGATGCTTCTGTAAAAAGAATAACATCATTAGCAAAAAATAAGTGAGAGATAGGATCATTAATGACATCAACATGTAGTAAAGATGCTTCTGTAAAAAGAATAACATCATTAGCAAAAAATAAGTGAGAGATAGGATGGTTATTTTTATAGACTTTGATCGGTTTCTGTTCTCTTTCTTTCATTTTTTATTGAATCAAATGAGCAAGTTTCTCCATGCAGTTCACAAAGAGATACAAAAATATTGGATTGCCTTGTTGCACAACTCTCAAGGGTGAGAACATATATGCTTTGCCTCCATTTCAAAAAATTTGCATAGCTAATGTAGAAACACAATTTCAAATAATGTTAATCATCTGCCCTGGCAATTGAAATTCCAAAAAATAATTTTTCAAGGTTAATTTTAATTTTAATAACCATGTGGCTTTTCTTTCCTTTCATACTCCACATAGTATGAATAACTTTCTGTGCTGTAATGATATCATCTGAGCTTTGTCTATCAAGCACAAAACTACATTAGTTAGGACTGATAATCAATGGAAGAAAAGACTTCATCTTTTTCATAACTTGGCTTATTTATTTCTGATTCTGAAGGAGTAGGCAAACCGGATACATGAAAATGACATTCAAAGACATTTGTTTAATTATTCTCTCGTGCATATCTATAGCTACCATTGATTGTTATCTTTTCTATAATTATGTGTGATGAAATTCAGCGCAAACTTCATAATATTATTTTCTCTTGCCAATCATGAACGCGGCTTTAACTACGTTTTTGGAACTAAATCAAATTTATATACATGTAATTGTGATATGATGCACGCTCTTGTTACGTGATTATAAAAGGGGGCATTAGGTCGAGGGCAAGTAAGGTATGGTTGGTAGATGCAACGATGCAAAGTGAATCTGACATCAATGGCTTCTATCGAGATATGTTTGTTTGCTTTCATATATATGTTATTTTTAAAAAAATGAAAATGAAGATAAAGCTAATAATAAAAAATTAAAATGAATCTTGATAAATTATAGTAACGATTATTTGTAAGTTACCCAACTGAATAAATTGTTTTATCTTATTTGTACGTTTAATTACAAGAAAATAATAAGAAAATGAAAGGAATTATGGTTAATGAGGGCGCCTTGACGTCGCCAGGGGGAGGAAACTGCCCGAAAATCGCGGTCACAACTCACATGCAGCCCACTGCGCCTGCCTGGTCACCGGTCACCACTTCACCCTCCTTTTTCACTCTCTTCTCCCTTGCTCTTCTTTCCCCATCCAAAACTCTAACATCTTTCACTCCATTCATTCATGTTCACTCTCTCATATTAACATCTTACATCTTAATCTATGACATTTGTATCAAGCAGCAGTGAAAATAGGTCAAGTCAAATAAGATTTTGGTTAAATAAATCTGAACATCTGCAATGAGTCAGGTGTCTAAAACTTGGCCTGAAGTCTTTATATAAGGCTTTTTTTGCTATGATTTCGTTGAAACTTAAAAAGTGATTTTTTTCAAAATGAATTATAAATGTTTGATCAAATTCTATGTTCAAGAATTATGGGAAGGGTCAAATAACAAAGATCAGAGGAAGTATTTATTCAATACTTATGTATTTTAACGTATCAAATAAACATCAACGGTGACCATTTTGCCAGGCGAAATAAGTTGCATTCCCCCCCCCCCCCCCCCGGGAAATTAATTAGATTATTAGACCAGACAAAATGAGTCGATTGGGACGCCATACGCGGCAAGACCTACCAAAGCTTCCGAAAAGTCGCACATTGGGCTACGAAGGTCCGGTGCCCACGACAAGATCCCATGTTGCTTTTAGTTTCCATTTCCTTTTCGCTGGCAAAACTACAGACAAACAAAATAAGAGATTCTAGTGTCCGTTTGGTTGGCAGTAAAATCAAAGGGCCTATCACATTTGTGCATCGCATTAGGGACATGAATACGAATCCCACCCCATTTTCCCCTCCGCCAGTCAAAGTGGATCTCAAATACACTTCGTTTCTTTCCTCTTTTTACAACCCAATTTAGATTAACCAAATTGCTTAAGTTCGTCGGGCTTGCTCATTAATGAAAACGAATACGTAATCCTTGCCATAAAACCTTTGATCTCGTAATTCGATGAACGTATTAAATTAAATCATACCAATGCATTGCACGGATTCAAACATTCAAATGACCAAAGCACTTAACAAATTTGTATTTGCATATAATTGAGAGGAGTGTACTATAACGCACGATGCTGTGGTATTTTCATTTGCCTGATTTAGATCTCTTCTCTTGCCTCATCATCCATATTTTACTGTTCGCTGTTTTTTTTTTTCGCCCCTTGCTTCTTTTTAATCTCCTTTATTCTCTCCTTGTTTTGTGTTAGCGGTATCCGCCATTGTAATTGTAATTGTAATTGTAATTATTTTAATGCGTCGTCTTGTTTTCCTGTCTTCCTCTGCTCGCTTGTTCCTCCTTAGATTATTTAGCTATAAATCGCATAACTTACATTGCAACATACTTTCTGAGTTTTCTCGATACTTTTTTCTTTTTATCTCTCGAGGTACGGCTTCTGACCTTAAATCACCTGAACGAATTAAGCATAGCCACGCTATTTGCTAGTTTTCTTTCCCAGAGATTCGAGGGCTTTCGACTTCGATCTCCCGGTAAAATTCTTGTCCTCGGTAGCGGATTGGATCGAAATTCTACGTAGCTTTAGAAACTGTATCGGTAGAACTTCGAATCTTTTTTAACGGCCGTATAATTCATTGATTTCAGGTGGCCAATTATTGATCAGTCCGGTCGATTATTTTGGATTTAGTGGGCGTTGCATAGTGGTTAAATTTTGGGGATTGCATTTAGAGGGTGGGATTTGGTCCACTGCATGTGTGAGTCTTAAGGGGTCCTCTGCACTGCTGTGGAGGATCCCGTGGGAAAGACTTTCCGTGAATCATTCTATTTGTTGAGATTTCTGGCTTTTAGCGGGTGTACAAGTTGGAAAGTCGCTCTAAATTGTGGGTGTTTTTTGCGTATTAAATTCTGGGAAATGTTTGCTTCAGTAGCGGATTCAGGACGTGAAAGTAGTGGAGCGTCAGGATCCAATTTGATTCCAAAGCGGTTCGTCTGGCCTTACGGGGGAAGAAGGGTGTTTCTTAGCGGCTCTTTCACAAGGTAGGAAGCCGAGTGATCGAATTATTCATTACAACAGTAGTTACTTCCTGGATCATCCTTATTTGTTGCTGAACATGATTGATGGTTTGATAGATATGATTGCGTTTGTTCCTTGAGGACATTCTTATAATTTGCTTCTTTTTTGTTTTGGTATTGCTCGCATTAATGTAATTTATTTAACCTTTACATGTCCAGGTGGTCTGAACATCTACCCATGTCTCCTATGGAGGGATGTCCTACTGCATTTCAAGTTATTTGCAGCTTAATGCCGGGATATCATCAGGTTTTTGGCCCCTATGGTCTGGCAGACCTGAGGAAATAGAATACCTGTGATTGAAACTTTTACGTCATGTACTTATATGTGACCAATGGACCACTTGGTCTGAATGCACTTCCCCTCAAAGATATGAACAGGAGATGAGATTATGGTTCCAAAACTTCAGTCCTTACTGTTTGCACAACTTATCAGGGAAAAAAAGGGGGAGAATTACACATAAGTCTCATTCAAGACAATTAATTACTCTCAAGTCCATTGACAACTTTGTCATTCTCCTTAGCTTAGTTGTCAATGGACTTGAGAGTAATTGATTGTCTTGAGTGAGACCTTCAAGCAATTCTTTCAAATGGACCTGGGAGTGATTAGTTGTCTTGAGTGGGAAAAACTGCTGGAAGTGCTTGTAAACAAGTTACTTCTAAAACACCATTTTTCTGCATATCTAGTCATATTTATGCATTGTTAGATTTCGAGGAGTAATTTTCAGTTATTTAGGTTTTCCATAGAACTTTTTTCAGTTGCCTACTTTTATGTTTCATATATCACTTAGTAGACAATATTGTTTGATGTGAAGTGGTATTTTGTCATTAAGTAAATACGTGACTGTGGGGAATATGGGAATTTTGATTAGTTCTGCCAAGTTTCATTGTGTATGTACATGTTTTTCTTCCTCCTAGTCATATCCACCTCTCGGTATTTTCCTCTTTGTTGGGATGTCAAAAGACTCTTCTTTAGATTAATAAATATTTGGTGGGCTGGTATTTGTTCAGTTATGTCGTGTAGCAACCGGTTGAGTATGGATATCTTAGCTTGGATGATATGCTCCGTTATGATGATGAAAAGAGACGGTAGGCCAACAAACAGATAAATTTTTGTAGATCATATTTTAGAATGGAATTTAGCTACACTTATTCTACATTCTAGCCTCTCAGTACCAAATGTAGTGTTGTAGTTTTATTATAATTTGTTTCTGCTCGATGAAGTGTTGAAAGCTGTAAACATAGTATGGTAAAGATAATGAATTCAAGCTGATGAAAATTTATCATGTCCAATAATGTGCAGTACAAATTTAATGTGGATGGCGAGTGGCAGCATGATGAGCATCAACCATTTGTAAGTGGGAGCTATGGAGTAGTGAATACTATTTTTTTGACTAGAGGACCAGATGCTTTGCCTTCCATCTTTGCTCCTGGGATACCCGGCAGAGCCCGCATGGAGGTTGATAATGATGTCTTTGGGCTTATGGTAAGTTGTTTTCCCTTCCCTCTCCTTGGGCCTTGTGCTCTTGGTTCATATTATATTCCCAAGTTGCTGGGCTTCATTTCCCTGTGGAAATATACATGCTTGTGTATATTTGTGATCCCATTTGTAGACTTTTGTCATCATAAAATCTTACCATTTGAAATGGATTCTAAAATAGCTACAGTGGCTGTATGTGAAGATGAAGGGAAAAGGAAGGGTAATAATTAAATATTGCAAGGTGGTGAGCGGTGACAATTCTTATTGAATGCTGGTGCTGTTGGTTTTGTATACATGAGATTAATCTTTATTCGTAGATGTGAACCCCTTTTCTCCTTAAAAAATTGTTTGAATTTACCAATGCACTTCAAAGTAACACTATTAGCTTCCTGTTGATTGAAAGAGTTAAGTCAGAGTTTATCTCAAGGTAAGAAGACTTATTTGCCCTGTTCCATGCACAATTTTGGCATAGCATTAGAAAATTGCGAGAGGAGAATGTGATTTATTGAATTATTTGGATCACTTGCAAGGTCCAATATGTTTGTTTGATTCCTTCAGTGCTTCTGATATGATTGAATCTTAACCATGCGAGGTGCTGAAATTTTTTTAATCAATTTTAATGATTTCTCTTATTCCTTTTTTCTTCCATATTCTCTTTTATTTGTTTCAGATATGAAACTGTAATCTCTGTAGGCTTAAAGTTTTTGCTCCTTTTGAGCTCCTTTGACTGCTTATTTCCAGGAAACTAATTCAAGGATGTCAGAGTCTGATCTGGAGGTCTCACGCCACCGTATAGCTGTATTCTTGTCTACATATACTGCTTATGAGTTGCTTCCTGAGTCAGGCAAGGTTTGAGTATTACTCCTTCTCTCTTTCTCTCTCTGTTTTTTATATGTTGCCACTGAATAGGAATTTGACCCTGATTTGATGTTGCATATTTGCTTCTGCTTTTGATGTTCTCAATGCAGGTCATCGCCTTTGATATCAACTTACCAGTTAAGCAAGCATTCCATGTTCTTTATGAACAGGTATTCATTGTTTGTGGCCCTTGCAATGTAAGAAAGTCTACTTGGTTGATATTTACCTCATAGATTATAACTTAATCTGATTACAGGGCATACCCATGGCTCCTTTATGGGATTTTCACAAGGCCCAGTTTGTTGGAGTGCTTAGTGCTATGGATTTCATTCTAATATTGAAAGAGGTTTGTGGGGATCAAAATTTTTTTATTTGACAATACTGTGCTAACTTCTGAGAAATTTCATAATCTGTATACTGTAAGCTAATATATTAGTTTGACTCTTTAAGGTACTTACAAAAGGAACTTGCATGCACAGATTTTAGTCTGCATTTCTGTCTAAATATCATCTATAGAACTGGTTAAAGTAAGATTGTATATTGTTATTCAACTTGTTCTGAAAATAATCATGTGAGGGGAAGAATCTTGAAAATATGTACATTCTTGAATTTCCGAATATGGTGGCAAAACCTCTGGTTCTTCTGATGTTATATTTTTGCTATTTCTGTTGTTGCGAATATGCATCCTCATTTTTTATGATGGTTCATTTGCCTTTCAGTTTCTAAACTTGCTCTTATAGAGAATGCATGGTGCATTCTTGTGTATTCCCAACAATTTTCTCGCAAAGTTTTTTTAACCTTTTACATACATTATTTAATTTTAAACCAACGGTAGGTGCACAAATCAAATAGCAGGGAAGTATTGTATGAGTGATGTGAAATAAGTTCACTATATGTTTAATACTTTTGCATTAGATTCTGCCAGTAATTTAAATCGTGTAATTTCAGCTGGGCAATCGGGGGTCAACTTTGACTGAAGAACAACTTGAGACTCATACTATAGCAGCATGGAAAGAGGTAAAGTCACAACAACGCAGGACAATGGACAATGGGAGATCGTATCCTCAGCACTTTGTTCATGTAAGTGTTCCTGTTGCAATTTGTGACAAACTGCTCAAATGTTCACATACTATTCTACCCTTTTTCTTGTTCGCAATTTCATGCAATTGTGGGGTTGGGCCAACTCTTGCATGATGTTGGGGGTTGTATCACTGGGAAAATATTCAAGAATGCATCCATAAGATGGCAACATGCCTGACGAATGTTCAAGACAATGTGAATGTCATATGAACACACTTATGTCATTTGTTTGCATGCATTGTTTGTTTGAAATTCTTATCTTCTCTAAAATCTTTAGTGTTTGCCTACTTGAAACTCTGGGATGTAGAGTTTGGTATTTAGAAATTTTTGAGAATTGATTGTTAAAACAGATAAACAGTCATTGCATTTTCAAAGAATCAAAGTCTTTTTGTTTTTCTTTTGAGTAAGTCAAGGCTTATGGTTTCTTTTAGTTAAGTTAAATTTTGGGTAGCAGACTGCTTTAAAATTTCGTGGATGACATAAAAAGTTTGAAAGGTGTTTTCCTTGTTTTCATCTACCTGTTGTTCAGGGTAATATGGAAGTTAATTAGAAAGGAATATTAGTTTATTTCATTGCAGTAATAAATTCAGATTTATGTTCTTTATGTATATGCATATTATGGTGGTGGCTTATATAATGGCCTTTTGTTTTTATATATACTCAACCTGATTAGTCCTGTGTGATCATTCTCTTTATTCTCATATATACTTTCTTGAGCCATAATTGGATGCTTGCTTTCACTAACAGTTGGATTTCAGGAAGCTTATGTATTCAGTCTTTGGTGTCTTTTGAGTTGTTTTTTTTACCACTGTTTTCAATAAAAGCACCTATTCTTAAGTGAACTGGTGGGCTGCTATCTTGCTTTTATGTCTGTCTATAATTAAGAATTCCTTCTCTTGGTTTTTGTTTTTCTATATATTTCTCCATAGGTTTTGTTCTCACAAGAGCTGTATGGTTTCCATTTCAAAAAGGAAAATGAGCATGAGTTGGATGATAAATTGACTGCAGATAATGTTAATCGCTGTTTGTTTTCTTCTTGCTGTCATTCATTGTTTGGAGGGTTTCATGGGGATTTATTGGTAATTGAATGCTGAACACAAAATGGTTATTAGGCCAATGAAGGTTGGTCCAATTAATAAGAATGCAACTCATACCCCATAAAGACATAAGTTCAAATCCCACATCTGATGTGAAAACCTTGTTGGTGGGTAATTTGGAAGTATCTCTACAAGTTCTTTTTGAACCATGAAGCTTACCTTAACTCTAGTGAGCCTTAGGACTCAACTCACTGAAACTTTTTTGTGGCCAAAAAAAAAAAAAAGGTAAATAGGTTTTTCACAGTTTGCCTTTATCTCTTGGTTACCTGCGGTATTTTCCAATTTATTTTTATCTTCAAATTACTGACATTGTTGCAATGAAAAGTCCTATGACTTCCATGGGATCTACAAGGTTCTCGGTGATTTGACATTGTGAATAGAAGACACTGCTCGTTAGCTTCCTTCTCCCTAATAATAGTCCTGTATCTGAAGATGTCTAGCGTGATTGTTCTTCATGCTGAGTTTTTGTTTAACCTGTAGACTGGGCCTCATGAGTGTCTGAAAGATGTGGCTTTGAAAATTTTACAAAACAATGTGGCAGCGGTTCCTATTATTCACTCTACTTCACAGGATGGTTCATTTCCTCAGCTGCTACATCTTGCTTCCTTATCAGATATACTAAAATGTAAGCTTCTAGATCTTTTTGTTATGATAAAATGGTTTAGAACTAATGCATGGACTTAATTTTCAGGTATTTGCAGGCACTTTAAGCATTCCTCTAGTTCCTTGCCCATTCTTCATCTACCAATTGGTTCAATACCTTTGGGTACGTGGGTGCCAAGAGTTGGGGAACCAAATAGACAGCCGCTTGCAATGCTTAGGCCGAATGCATCTCTAGCTGCCGCCCTGTCTCTGTTAATTCAAGGTGATTATTCTTCTGTTCCTTAGAGATCAAGGTGTTTTTCTTGTTATCAATTAAATGTTCTAGTAATACTAAGGTCCCGTTTGGTTATTAAAAAAGAATGAAATGAAATGGATTGAATAAACAAAAGTTAAAATGAGATGATTAAAAGCAATAGTGAACCAAATTCATAAAGAAGAGAGGTAATTTAGTTCGTGAGATTGGGAATCATAATTTGTGAGATTTTTATAATTTAAAGGGTGTGATGATTCTTATCTTTATAATATATATTAAGTTTTATCATACTTGTCATAAGGAGGAAAGGTGATTTAGTTTAATTTTTATGTTGAGTTTTTGAATTCATTCCATTCCATTCCATTCCTTTCTAGTAACAAAGGGAATCTAAAGGGGATATTGTGATGGAACTCAGATTTCTCTGATATTATTTTATGTAAAATATGCTAGAATTCAAAAATCCAGGCTGAAATTAGGGATCAATACAGTAAGGTGTTATGGAAATAACTGCGTTGCGTAGGAAATAATAGAATAGCAAAACAGACTCCTCTTGCTTTTGAGAGGCTAGAGTTTCTTCCCAAACCATGCTGAATTCTTGCTAGTCCCCCTTCTGACCCACTGCCTCCTCATATATTCCCCACCAAGAGCCTAAACTCTCTTCCCTTTCCTCTTGTCCCGTTTGATGGTTAGTTAAAAGCACTTTAGTTCCTATTTCTTCTTTGCTGCCACCTCATTAACAGATGATGCTGCCCTGGGCTCCCTTGAACTATCTTTTCTCTTCACCATTTTTCCTTGGGCTTCCGTCTTGTATGTAAAAATATTTGTCAATTTCAAAATGGATTGAAATATTGAAGTGTCCTTTTCCCCATTAAATATCTAGTTACCGTTTGAGAATTCTAATTTTATTTATCATGTAATATTGGTAGTGTGGTTAAGAGCATAACAGTTGCATTTCAATTATTTCTAGCTTTAGGTCTTTTATGTGAAATTACTTCACGTTTGCAGCTGAAGTTAGTTCAATACCGATTGTGGATGATAATGATTCGTTGCTTGACATATATTCAAGGAGGTAATATCTCATGCTCGCTCATTGTGCCTATGAGAATCCGAGATTCTTGTTTATACCTTGGAAAAGGGAGATCATATTCTTCAAGCAGTGTGACATGTGCCAGTTATTTTCTTCTCAGTGATATTACTGCATTGGCTAAAGATAGAGCTTATGCGCGGATATCCATCGATGAAATTAGTGTGCATCAGGTAATACTTCAGTGATACTTAATGTGCCTCTCTTTCTTCGGAATTAATTTTAATTATAGGCCTTCTTTGTAGCACGTGTAATCTTCTGCGAGGAAAGCCTTATTTTGGTCAAACTACTGGGGGATAAATGCCTAGCCCTAGACTGTTGCTGATATTTTTCTTCTGAAAAATTATAACAATGGCAAGAATATTTTAGTATAGGAAATGGCTGAGATTAATAGAATTCTTGTTCGGTTTCATTTTGCAAATTTTGATTTGCACCTGATGGTTGTAGGCATTGCTTTCGGGACAAAATGCAAATTCACCTTGTGGCTTTTACAATGGTCAGAGGTGTCATATGTGTTTAAGATCTGATCCATTGCATAAAGTGATGGAGCGGTTGGCTAATCCTGGTATTTCTTCTTTACTAACAAGCCCTTGCTCTCTTTCTTCTATACATTCCCCACATACTTTTCAAGAAAAGAAGATAAGTGAAACAAATGAAATAAAAGGAAGGCACTTTCTTCACCTGTATATGTTACACAGGGGTTAGAAGACTTGTGATTGTGGAGCCAGGCAGCAAGCGTGTGGAGGGGATTATTTCCTTGAGGGATGTGTTCAGATTCTTGTTGGGATAGTTTGGTGGATATATGGGCTGCCATACACGGAGAGGGAAAGTCCACTGGAGGACTTGTTTGTTGTTTTATTTATGGAGTTATCTCTGAGCTTTGCCCTGGCCTTCCTGATCTCCTTGGTTGGACGGGCATCTCGGCCGCGGCCCACTCATTTTCAGTAGAGTTTGAAGAGAGAGTGAGTTCCCTAAAAGCAGGTTTCGTTTTTCTCCTTTGAACATAACACATCTTAACCGAAACAATATCTCCTTTGTGCTGGCACATCTACAATACCTGTGTCCTGTGCTAACATGATCGAGGAGAAAAGGAAAAACAAAAAACAAAAATAAATGAAGTAGTAGGTGAAAGATTAAGCTGTCTACGCCACCTCATGTCATTCGTTCGTTGTAGGAAGTTCATGATGACTTGTTTGTATTGTTTTTCCTTGCACAGATACAGCATTTATCTTGACGCATGCCTTGCAAACTTGGAAGTTAGTCACAGAACGAATAATCTTTTCCTTTTTCTTGTAAATTAAATCGAAAATTGTGTATGGCCAAGGGAAAAAAGGGCGGTGTCTTTGCTGCTGTTGGCAAGTATCCAAGTTAATGAAACCAGCAGCTAGCTCTCTTGAAACCTTAACGTTTACATTTGGAGTGTTCGATAGCAAATGGGTATAATTGCAGCAGGTTTGATTTTTATGATCCATAATTACTAAAATTAATAAGTGCATTTTATGTTTATGCATGTTTGTAATGGATGAAGTATATAGAGTTATGTACTTTTTATTAATTGAAAAATTCACATATTTATGCTATCTTTTTTTTTTGGGGGGGGGGGGGGAGGTGGTTGGGTTGGGGCAACACGGGAACATATTTATGGAAGTCTATAGTTATCTAAATGTGTCTTTTTCCGCAACCATCTGAATGTCCCTGAGGTCCATATTAACGAGCAGTTTCTTAAATAACAGTCTCAAATATTTAGATAACTACAACCTTTTCTTTTCGATAAAAATCAGTTTAAAAAAATATCAAGGGCAAACGAAGAGTGGTAACCATGAGTTGTCATTTTATGAATTGACTTGGGAGAATATAATTCAAAATGTTAGACGCACAAGCAACGATTCATTACATTTGACTTGACTTTTCCTTGCAAGCAACCTAGTCATTAAGTCACAGATTGATGCGCGCCTAACTCAGCGAAAATAACAGGCTAGTGCGTACACGGTTTATACATGAAGCTTCGCGAAAAAAGGGGTTAATAGATGTAAGGATACATTTACGATGCAGAAAATTATATTGGGGAAGCATATTCATTGAAGGCTAATCTAACAGTATTAACAACAACATCGAGACCTTTAACCTCGACCCAAACGCAAATTTATGAGAAGAGATATGAAAAGGAAAATGGACAATGTTGGTGAAATATATTAAATATATTAAATTTAGTATTATCACTAATACTAAATAGCACTGAACTTGTTGACATTAAACAAACATGATATTACAAGGGTTGGGGGTTGGGGGGGAGAACTCAATTGAATTTTCCAGAATCCTATGTACAACAACTTAATAAATGAGGGGATACAAGTCAAGTTGGGATGAGAGCTAAAATCTGGGTCTTGATTCGTCCCATGCACATCTTAATTTCTCTGTATATAGGAAGGTTTTGAGGGCAGCAAGGATGCAGGCTGTTAACGGCTGAATCTAAAATCTGAGCAACATCAGCTGGTGGGTATTGCCGTTCAGTACAAGTCTGTCGAATGGAAAATATTTAGGGTCAGGAAGAACTGCAATGCTGCATTTTTTTTTTTTTTAAGGATTACTTCTATGTTAGTAATTAATTACCTGAATCATGATTAAAGTAGCAACACAGGATGTGATGAGCTCCGAAGGAATTTGAATATCAACTTTGTGGGAGTCATTCTGCAATTTTGGACCTGATGTATCACTATGTAGAGTTTCTGATGCACCGCAAGTCGACTGATCATGGTGACCAAAACTGCTATTCACTTGCTCTTGGGATCTTATTACAGGTAACCTAGAGTTGAAGGCCAACTGCTGATAATCAATGGAATCCAATGCTTGGCCTATCCTCATGAAAGCATCTTCACCTTCTTTTGTCGAAGACAACGTCTGAAGCGTCAAGAGATTTAAGTTAGAGAAAGCTTTTCAAGAGCTTGGAACTTGATAGTGTCCCTGGACAGTGGTTAAGACAAAGGGCTTAAAACAAATCAAGCAACTAAGGGTAAAAGCAGTACGAATAAATTGTAGAGGCCGAGAAATGCTAAGCCTCTGACCTTACTTGCCAAAGTATGCAACGAAAATCTGGATGTTCAAAATCACTTCACATATAATTCATGACGACCATAAAAGTAAAGGCAACCACACCAACCTGAATTGCAGTATCTACCATGGCATGTGCTCTTAGCCTGGATCCTTTGATAATTTCAATGACACTTGATGCTAACTGTTGTGTTAGAGAACTATCTAATGCACACAGAAGATCATCTTGGATATTGAAGCTTGCTGGGGCCTTCACCCATGGTGATGGAGAGTTTCCAGTGTAAGTATTTCGTTGCCTCAAACTAAGCAGAGCAGACGAAACCTGAAAATAAAATGACCAATCAATTGATATTTCCTGGTCCAAGTCAGAATGTTTACATTGAAAGAAATAATAATTCATGGAAGCCACATGCCTGCCCACTGGCTTCCTTTAGCTGTACAAGTACCGTGGCGTAATGCTTCTTGAAAGACTCTGAACCTTTGAAGTAGTCTACGTCATTTTGGTTTTCCAATATGTCATTATTTGCATTTCTAAGCTCCATTAACAATTTTTCCTGTAACACCCCACCGAGAAAAATCAGCAAAATTCAAATAACTAAGCTAAATGGATCCACCGAAACACTGACCAGGCAACTAAAGGAATGGAGCATAAGACCGGAAGCATGCAACAGTTTCCAAATGAACTGCAAAAACCATTTGTTCATGTTCATACAAACCTTTTTATCTAGAGCACGAGTCAGTTCAGAAAGGGCGTGTATATCAGCTTCTCTGGCTTGATGATGTGTGAATGTACAAGGTTGAGCATATGCTTCTTGTAGTGTATCAATGTTATCAATGGTTCCAACCTTTGCTTGAGCAACAGGATTAACATCCTCCTGTATGGGTTAAGGGAAACTATATTATCCAACTTCAAATTTAAAATATCAACATCAACATTTTGCCCGTAGCCGCAGGGGCCCAAACAGCTAACCTATATAAAAGCACTGCTTTGTAAACCTCTGGCCGTGGCTGACCCATAAACCAATCACCTGGCCGGTCCAATTGGTTGAGCAAACCTACTTTGTGACCCAGTCAACCCAGCAGGTTGATGGGTTGACCCAGGTTAAATTTTATTATATTTTTCTTTTTCCCCTTCCCCCTTCTGAATTGTAAACCTTAAATCAAATCTAAATCTCCTAATTAATATTTGTAATGTATTTTATTGTTTTTAGAAACTTATGATTAATATTTTTATAAGACATGCATAAAGTTTCATGAATGAATTTCCATTTACTTGAGAATTAATGACATTTTTATTTAAATATGATTTTTTTTCCATAGTCAAATATGAATATTTGTATATATTTTAGTTAAATTATATTATTTTAATCATAATTAGTTTGGCCCTAGTTCGACCATTGACCCTTGAACTATAGCCTTGACCGGTTTAATAACTGGTTTGGTTTTCAATACCTTGTACACAAGTAAAGGCTCAAGTACAAGAGAAAAATGGGACACATAATTCACCACTGAATTAAAGCAGTGTGAAACAATTTCACTAGATGGAGGCAGATTCATCAGTCAAACATTCTAAGGATAGTGGTCTCAATATCACATAATGAACAGAGAGAAAAATATCTAATTTGCCATGAAAACAAATCCCCTAGCACTTCAAACTTATAAGACCTACTAAAGGAAAGGGGGAAAAAATATAATTTAACGGGAGACCCTTCAATTAGCACATAATTTTACACCAAACTCATGAAAGTGATGAGAAATATCAAATAAATATAAGTAGAATACACACTCGAACACAAAGTACCAAAAACTTATTTCAAGGCAGGGTGGAGTTCGAAAGGATTTGTTGGGCAATAAAAAACAAAAGGATTGTGATATGGTATAAAAATAGTTAATACAGGATTTGGAGATTTCATATATCTAACCTTGCCCACCTTTGCAAAAGTACTTGAAGGGGTGGATGTGGATAGCTTCTCCAGGGGTCCACCTGAACCACATGCCACACCACCCTCAAAATTAGAAATTTCATTTATCTGTAGCTGTTTGCCCATATAAGAAACTTTGCCAACACCTATCTGTCTTCTCAGAGCTTCTGGCATATTATCCACAGGATTCATAGGCATGCAATCAATATCCTGCACCGTATAAGACATTCATCCTCACTTTACAGATTTCTTTATCTTAGATTTAAAACTACCTACTCATGAATGCCCATAATTCTTTTTAATCAAAAAGGCACGATGATAAGAGATCATATTACCATGACAAATTCAACCCCTAATTCAGGACGGTCAAACTGAACCCTGCACTTGTCATGGTCAACAGTAAGCACACTCCCATCATGAACCTCTCTTGATTTGGGGTGAATAGCAATTACTCGTTGTCCAACAAACAAAGGTCTTGCTAAATCTGTTGGGAGTCCATCCCTCATACCAGTGCGCAGTTCAGTGTAATGTTTCCTCACAGATTCCCTGTACTGTTCAAGTTTTTGTCTTTCTTCACGGAGAAAGTGCTCAGAAAACCTACGAGGTTTCCCCAGGGAACTGCGGAAACAAGCAAAATTGATATCAAATATGTGCAGTGCTATATATATATGCAAGAGTCTAAAAGAAATAGTGATAAATCAGGCTAATAAAAACTAAATTTAATACCTTTTTATAACACTCCACTCAACACGAGTTAGCCTTGGGATATTCCCTAGTCCAACATGGTTTAAGTACTCCATGAATTCCCTTTTGGCAAACCATGGATAATCAATTGCACTATAAAACCACTCAAAAGTACACCACCTGCGAACCATATATGACGACAAGCAACCAGAAAGCTTTTCCTGAAAATTACACTATTAGTCATAAAAAGAACAAAGCATACCTTTAAGCTTCAGGGAGCAATAATCTATTTAAATTAGCTAAAAAGCTTTCACCTTTAAATATGAAGTCCTGTCTGGAAGGCTGGAAGAGTATTTATTAGGTTTTCTCAACATGTTTTCAGAAGATTTCTCTTTCATAATGAATGTCTTCTGTAGGCTCATCTTACGTCTATTTTTTTTATTTGGTAAACTAACTTCACTTGCAAGTGGTACTTCTGCAGTTGATACTGTTAAATCTTTTGGATCACTACACAAGGAGCTCTCAGATGATCTGACTGGTTTCACTTGTTTTGCTTTAATCAGCAGTTTATTCTCTTCATCAGATACAGCCTACATAGCAGACCCAGCATCTTTAATGAGTATATCATAAATAAATGGCAGCCTCTTTTAAAGATGATAAACTTATATTAATTTCCTTCATGCATGATTGAGCGCACATATTATATGGCCCAAAGAAAAATGGACAGATATCTAGCTTTATATTATTGTCATTCCATATATACGTATTCCAATAATTGCTGATAAATTTATCATGATATCTTTGTGCTTATGGACCATAAAGACATAGGAAGCGTATCAGGACAGGATGGCAATCTACTACGACAGAAGTAAGTTCTTATAACATCCACAGAGGCCAAGCACTGGCGGAAAGAATCAGAACTTGTA